AAAACAGTTTTTTGTGTTCCTTTCTTAGTGTTTCATATTTTGTGGTATTTTGCGTTAAATAGAAATCTTGGGGGTCATTTAATACCGAAATTAAATTCTATCGAGAGCAGCACCTCTACAGGAGCACGTTTATTTTTATGGTTTTCTCTCTGTTGATTTTTGTACACTTCCACACACACACACACACACACACGTGTCTATCACACACACACACACACACACACACACACACACACACACACTTCTTATAACTTGTTTTAATGTTTTTTTTCCTTTTGTTACAATTGCCTACACATGTAATTCCTTTTCTTAATACATGCATTCTCGTTTGTTTTATATTTATTGTTTTGTGTATCTCATTTTTGCCTGGACTCATATTGAGTCCGCCAATAGCTTTTGCGGGATAAACGTTCCAGGATCCCGTAAATATTTACTATCCAATGGGTTGATTCCTGCAATATAATGGCGACTAATATTTATCCAAGCATACCAGCATCACGCAACTGTAGAACAATCACACGGTCAAGATAAACACTCAGTTGTGGAGCAATCTGAGTGAATAACAACTCAACCTTAAGAGAGCTATTTATGGTGCCACGAAGCATCTCATTGTGCTAAAGTTGGATAGTCCATTGCTTGGGCTGTGATTGGCTTCTGGTACATGAGTGGAGGTATTTCTGTATAAATACCAGCTTGATTCATCAGTTAGTTTGCAGGGTTTGTATTGAGTTACAACCTGCTTTATTTTTGTCTGCCAGCTGGACGCTAGTTGGGACCCTTACGCCGGTAAGTGCTGTTTATTGTATTGTTATTTTACAACAAGCTACATATTGGAGTCATCAAAATCAAGTAGGTATAGGAATCTATTTGGGGACCGATGTTTTATAGATTATGCATAAGTATTTAATAAAGTAAGCCACAAAGAACTGTTGTGGGTGTTAGGTAAGCTTGATATACTTGAAAAGGATGTTAGAATAATCCAGGATTTATACTGGGGGTAAAGCACTTGCATCTGGATAGAAAATGAATTCAATAAATATCCAAAAATAGAAAAAAGGTGTAAGATAAGGATGTGTCTTCTCACTGGATTTAATTCAGCTTTAAAGTGAAGCGATTCTGAGAAAATTAGATATATGTCGTGTTAGATTCTTTTTTTTTCTCCAAATCTATCTTATACGTTTATAAGTATACCATTCATCTATTCTTAGAATATTACTGTCTCATGTGACCCGGTGCTTCTAATATTTAGAGATTCTTGATAACAACTAAAGAGGAATTAGCTATATTATTGGCCCTGACCAGTCATTTTCCCACCGCCGTAAAGTGGCTTTCCTGTGCTTTTTCTGTAAATATTTTCAGGGTAATTGTACGAATGAACAATGTACGGCTCCACAATTTCCAGTTAACTTTGATTTTCAAAAAATTTAATGCAATGTCAGTCGTTATCTACTGACTTACTGGTTACTCTTGTATTGTTCTCACTCCTTAGTAATGTTCCTGTAATTCTGAAACATTTGATTTGAAAGTTGAGATAACAACATTGTTTGGAATGCGTCAATGGAATGTTAAGGTGGATCTAGTGGCGATTGGTACACGAGGTTCGATGCCATTGAATCCTATTAAAACTGTGCGACCACCTTGCCTAGCTGGCGATATCATACCAACTTGGAGTCCTTCAAAAATCTTCTCTTTTGAGCACTGCGCATATTTTGAGGAACGTGTTTTCTGTCTGAGGGACTCGTTGTGACTTGACAGATAACTTAATGTACCCAGCGTATTCAAAAACTTACACTGTGTGTCAATAACAATAATAATAATGCATTACTTACCATTCCATTGGTTATAACCAATCTTGGCGCGGTTTCCTTGCTGGGAAACAAACCCATTGGATGACCAGAATACATAACCAGTGTTTGTCTTTCACTCATCTTGGACAGGTAATGGACAGTTAACAGAAACTGTAGCAGAATCATTCCAATAAAAAGGTAAAGGAGAATAAAAAGCAAAAATGATATTGAAATTGACTGACTTGATATTATAAAGGGAGGTAATAAGTAAAAATAGAGGGAGGTATTAATTGAAAAGCGAATAGAACAAAACCTTATTTACATAAATGTGAAAAGTCAAGTAAACGCAAAATTAATCTTTTTTTAAATATTTAAAAATGTGATGAGGACACGCGCACGATCAGACAGTATATATATATATATATATATATATATATATATATATATATATATATATATATCGGAGTTAGCTCCTCCTTAATTCCCAAATTGTCACTAGGGTCATTCTTTCTATACTATAAATACTAGGCGATTCTCGCCTCGTTCTCGTTTTCATTTCTTCATTTCAGCAACTACAATGTAAGCTCTCTTAGAAGATCCACGTCTTCTCATTTGTGAGAGACGCCATGAACATTATACACACATACACGTAAGTACGAACATTCACCAAAGAACAAACACAAACGTTCACACACACACAAAAATATTGTCTATGTTCATTGTAAAATTGTTTTGTTTAATAAATATTATTTTATATAATATATATATATATATATATATATATATATATATATATATATATATATATATCGGTCTTGTTTGTTTTCCTTTCAGTTGGACTTAATTCAAGTCCGGCCATTTTCTTGTAGTTGGATATCGTAATATTCTACCAGGAGTTACACACGTGTTTCTAATACAAAAACATTCAAACCCGCCCGGTCCGCTACATATTTAATCTACGGACTAAAAGTCACTTTTCTTGATTAATTCAATCTTAGGTTGACCAGAAAGTCCTGACTCATTTAGGATGCGGAAAGAAAACAACATTTATTCTTCAAAATAAAGTCCATCATTCTCGAGGATCTTCTGCCAGCGATCAGCTAGCATCTGTATCTATCCTAGATACCAATCCGCTGGCTTTAAATCAAAATCTGTAAACAAGCTTCCTTCATTTCATCAAAAGTCTTGAATCGCTGGTCCCGGAGGAAGTGTGCCATTGAGCGGAATATGATCATAGTCACTGGGAGCGGCATCGGGACAGAACGGTGGATGTGGAAGAATCTCAACACCGTAACGTCTGTTCGAACTTCTCCTCAATGAACCTGGTAGTGTGTGGCCTTGCATTGTCTTGCTGAAACAAAGGCCAACCTAAATGTTTGACCAAAGCTGGATACTGTTTCTTTAGTTTGTCGTACAGTTTAGCATTGAAGTTCCACTACAGTGATGAAGATTTGTGTAGTTTTTTTTAAGTTCCACAGACAGTGATGAAGATTTGTCGTTTTCTTACCGCTTATATATATATATATTTATATATATATATATATATATATATATATATATATATATATATTATAATAAAAGAAAGAACAATAAGATATATAATCCGGTGTTCTTATTGATATTTTTATTTTTACAAAACAGTGCTCAATGTAAATTTACAAAGCATAAATATTATAAATTAACTGATTTAAAATATGGTTCCTTCGCTACAGAGGAATAACCATGTTTCAAAAACCGAAGCTAAACTCTTCAAATTAAAGTAAAAACATTAGTTCTGTTTTATCTTCAAGCAAATTTTGGAAGAAGAAACAGAACTAATGCTCTTAATTTAATTATATAATTAATAAAAACAAATTTTTATCGTCAAAATGTTTATGTTATTATTAAAAGGAAAGAACAAAGAATTTTGTCATTATTTAAAAAAAAATTACTCCTTTCTAACACTAAATCTTGTTTTCGTTTGTTTGTTTTTTTGTCAAATGTGTAAGACTTGTTGTATTTTTGTGTAGCCGTTTCCGGTAAAATGAGACATTAATTTGGAAATTCTTTATTGCCTTAGCAAATTATATTGAGATAAAACAGGGATGAATTTAGAGATGCCCTTATCGTATGCATGAAGTTCCAATGAAAAATGTTGAAAAACCTACATTTGAGAAAAGTTCCTTGTTTTATTAAGTAGAATTAAGTATATCTGTATGTAATAAAGTAAGCTTTGGACATTGTATGCTGTGTACTGTCTGTTTTGTGTGTTAGTGTGACAAGAGGTTCGGTGCTGGTCAAAAGATCAAAGTGGAAACGACACACGTCTTTTTTTTACTCGCCTGATGCACCGAGAGAGAGAGAGAGGGGGGGTGCACCCTTTTCTTTTTTTACTATTTTTGACAACAGCTTCCGGTGGTTATTAGCAGAACTTCCTAGGCAGATAAGTAGAGTAAGAGCAAAGAAACAAAGTTAAACGTCGAATTGAATCACGTCAATCTTTTTTTCGCTGCAGCAGAGAGCATTGACATTTATTCCTTTTTGGACATTCATGTGAATGCTTAGTGACTGTGATCACAAAGTGCTCGGTGTTACTTCTGACAAAATTCGCACAAATGCATAGTGTCTTTGCGAAAGCAATGACACCAGTTAAAAAGGGATTAGAAATAATAACTAAGACAAAATATCATAATTGTTACTTATAACATTTGCGTTTTACCGAGAAAAAGTAAACAAAAAAAAAAAAATCGGTATAAACACGTTGGATTTAACGACAGTTTCTCCTACCAAGGAGGATGCAGGCTCGAATCCTGCCGGAGAGCGCATATTCTTCTTCAATAAGATTTCTCAAATATTCAGGCCGAAAAATGATAATAAATTATACTCTTTAAAATTAAAAACGGACCGTCTACTCAAATATGGGCATCCACAAAAAACAACGTTTAAATGTTTATATATATATATATATATATATTCGAAAATTATAACATAAATATGTTATAAAATCACTGCAAAAATAGCCATTTTGTTTCAACACTTCTAGTGTTTTATCAACTGATTTATTCCGTGTACACCAATCCTATACTTGGATATATATATATATATATATATATATATATATATATATATATATATATGTGTGTGTGTGTGCGTAAAATTAACAGTTTCATTCAAATGTAATCAAATAACAAAAAGTGGAACCAGCGTCTCCTTTCTAAGTTTAGAGAAACTTACCTGAGCCCAGTTAGAGAACACCTGACCATTTCCCCCGTAGGTGACCAGCTCGTGGGGAAACTGGGCCACTTGCGGATCTAGATTGTTCATGATCATATGAATAATTGCAGCGGCTTGTTTGCATTGGGTCGGGTATTCTTCGATCGGGTAGGCCCTAAAAACAAACAGCAGTATATACTAAGCTATAACGTATATACGATGGAAATACGGCAGACATTTATAGTTATTTTGTTCTTTTTACTTAAAGTCCGCTAAAAACGTTTTCTAAGCTCGATGCCAAGTCTCTTAATTAAATAATAATTGACAATGATTTTTCGAAGGATATCAAAGATTATATTTTTTCTTGAAGTTGCTGAAATAAAAAAATAAAGAATTTGTCTTAATAATTTCAATTCGATTATTTTTTGGTAAATTACTCTACAAAACATTTTTTACAGACGCGTTGGTGATCTTTAATATTTGGTTTTATGAGAACACTCCCAATGGATGAAGGGCCGTTTGAAAAATTAAAACATAAGCCATAACACTATCTAGTCATCGGCAAACTGCGGCCTGCGGGGAACATGCGACTCGACTGGCTTTCTGAATGGCCCGTCTGATTTCATGAGGAAAATAACATTTATTAAAATGTTTGTTTCTTTTCATTCTCTCTTATTCACACACACATTCTCTCATACATAACCACGTACTTAAACAATGAATAAGTGCAATGTTTCTTGAATTTTGTACATTCCGTTGAAAGTAATGTTATCAACATTTTAAACCATTAGCGATTTTCACTATGGAAGATGATACGTGTAAAAATCTTTTTCTTCAGAAACAGGCAACGTAAATGATAATTATTCCTCTTTTACAAATATTTTTTTTTTATATTCAAAGGAATAAATTAGAAAACAAAAACTGTGGGTTACCCCACTTTACTAAAAAATAAAACGCCGCTAGAGGACGCTTATTAAGCCTATAAATAGGAAATTATATTCTCACCCATTCTCTTTTCTCTCTTCGGCAATTAGTTGGAGATTCGTCTCCAGCTAAGCTAGTCGAACTCTCTGCCTTCGGGCAGAGGGGAACCCAGACAAGGCTTTGCCGAAGGGCAGAGTCTCGTCTGGGGTGGTAGACAGCTACCCGACCTCGTTTTTTTACGGCGTCTATGGGGATTTTTTGCCCGAACCCCCGGTCTCGGTTTTACCTCGCATTAAAAAAAGGCCTTGTGCCACATCCTACCTCGTGGGGTGGTGAGGTAAATAACCTTTTCTCTCAGACAAGATGTAGGTCGAACGTGGTAAAAATGTGCCCCCCCCCCACTGAGGGCACACGTTCACTTCGCTTTCAATTACTTTTTCTCTCGGACTTCTACACAAACTTCATACACACAAACACATTCTTTTGTTTAATCGTTTTCTTCTTTCTTATTCATCGTTTTTGTCACCCGCAACAAACTTCTGTTGTCATTGTATACTTTTGGTAAAAAATACAGTGTTGTTTGTTTGTATATAGTTTCGTTGTTACTTTACTGATTTATTTACCTGGACTCACTTTCGAGTCCGCAATAATTGTTGTGGGAAAAATATACCAGAGTACACGTGTTTTCTATCTAAACACAACTAACTTTCCCGCAATAAAACCACATGATGCAGCAGTATGTGTTAATCACGCTGTCATCAATGATAATATTATATCAATACTTCAACATTTTTTTTATTTTATACAAAGAATCTTTTCTTAAAAACAAAGCTCATCAACTTTTCCCCATTTCTAAGGCAAAACCTTTTTTGGGGGGTGGGGAATGGCTGCGATATCTTTAATAAAAAAAATTGCTTAATTATTTTAGTAGTGCGGTTCGCCTTATGATGTATTGTACCCCATGCGGTTCGCCTTATGATGTATTGTACCTTATGCCGCCCACCGTTCGAAAAAGGTTACCCATGCCGGCTATATGCAAATGGTTAATAATAAAAATTAATAGGTTTTCAATAAAATAATTTAATGTATTCAAATAAAATAATAAAAGTCTGATAGTTTGATATACCAGTTAGTAGAAAGAAAAAAAATGTAAGCTAGAGTGAACATGTACAGTTTACGAAAAATAACAATACTATAAATATATATATATATATATATATATTTACTTCATTTTAAGAGCCGGTCGGAAACGGTACATGTAGATGTGACCATATTCTTGAAGTTCTTCGGAAAATTCCAATGCCAATTCTTCATGGAACTTTGGCGGGAAATAGCGTAGAGCATTCTTTACAGCAAGCTGCCAAATATTTAGAAAAAAATGTAATAAACATTTGTTACCAAAAAATTCATATACATATATAATGCTGATTGATTATATGTAAAAGTTTAAACACAATATACAAAGTGTTTATATTTCTGAGGTGAGGTATTGTAACTATTTACACTATTTACATCGTTGTCCTCATCTCTGGATATATCTTTTGTCAAAGTGAGTAATAATCAGCTTGGCAGACCTGCGAAGATAATTGTCTTAGATAAATATAATCTTCAGCGTAAACCTTCTTGTTTGTAACCTTCAATATTCAAAAATACTTTATCCAAGAGATTACGATAATTCTCCGCATTTATCTCTACACTATCACCAACCTCGATGAGGCCTATACTTTTACTATCTACAATACTCACCCAAAACATTATCCCATCTCACTATTGTCTTGTAAATCAGACTTAATTATAACTAATGTGTCCCACACAGAGAAATCGTAACATATAAATAAAGCAAGCAAAGTGGAAAGGTAAGAAGCGATAGAGTCTTACTTGTAATATTTCTCGAAGGGAAGACGAACAGGTATGTCCTGTGAACTTCGAGGTACGGTGTGGGATCTTCTGTTCTCTCTACTGCTGTGGATTTGAGATGACATCTAGCACTTTAGCGATCTATCATCAGCAACTGGCGTAAGTAGACATGTAAATAGTAACTTCCGGTTTTGTATCTGACGTTGCTTACCAGCCATCACGTGTCTCTCGTGGCCTCGGCTTAACTAACGGGAGATAATCGTCCTCCGGCACCCTCACAACTATGCCTATGAAGTTCTAGCCCAACTATCAACTTTACATGCATAGATGAAAATCATTTTTGAGAAATCAACTTTCCTGTACCACAACTAAAATACTTCTCTTTATGATGTTTACTTAAAGGTTCTTTGCTTTCATGCCTTCAACAAATGTTGTTATCATCCTGCATCTTTCCTTTGTTTACATTCCAACACCAATTTCTCCAAATATTTTCTTGTTGGTCCATCAATCCAATTTTCATGCTTATCACTCTTTTTATCTTCATGGTTTCCAGTGAGTGTTTGGGTGTGCGGCTGGTGTAACGGATAGCGGCTTGAAATGCGAAGTTGAAGATCGAGTTCCAGTTGCATTTGTTATATTCACTTATACGCAAATATACTTGAGAAAGGTATGAACCCACCTCCTCCCCTCACCTATGGGTTAAATAGGTTTGTATCGGAATAAATCATTGTTACTAACAGGACATATAAATTACATGGATTTACTAATAATTTTAATGCTACAATCTGTGCTTCTCAACCTAAGGCCATTCCCAGAGAGTTGTAAGAAAAGTGATATTCTGTTCTACTCTCCATGTCTCTCTCTCTCTCTCTCTGTTCTACTCTCCATGTCTCTCTCTCTCTGTTCTATTGTCTCTCTCTCTCTCTCTATTGTCTCTCTCTCTCTCTCTCTCCATGTCTCTCTCCTCTCTCTCTCCATTCTCTCTCTCCATGTCTCTCTCTCTCTATTGTCCATCTCTCTCTCTCTCTCTCTCTCTCTCTGTTATTGTCTCTCTCTCTCCCATTCTCTGTCTCTCTCTGAATCTTCCACCTCCATGGAATCTCTGTTCTAAATTGTCTCTCTCTCCTTAAACTCTTCTCTCTCTCTCTCTCATGTATCTCTCTCTCCCTCTCTCTACGCTGTCTCTCCTCTCATTCCATTTCTCTCTCTCTCTCTCTCTCTCCACAATCGGTGTCTCTCCTCTCTCTTTCTCCATCTCTCTCTTCTGTTGTCTCTCTTCTATTGTCTCTCTCTCTCTCTCTCTCTCTCAAGACTCTGTTCTCTCTCTCTCTACAATCTCTCTCTCTCTCTCTCTATCTCATTCTCTCTTCTGTTCTCTCCCTCTCTCTCTTGTCTCTCTCTCTCTCTCCCTCTCTGTCTCTCTCTATCTCCCCCTCTCTCTCTCTATTCTATTCTCTCCCCCTCTCTCTCTCTCTCTCTCTCTCTCCGATTATTCTTTTCCATGTCTCTCTCTCCCTCTCTTCATGTCTCTCTCTCTCTCCCATGTTCTCCCAAAAAAATTGTCTCTCTATTAACAATCATGTCTCTCTCTCTCTATCTCTCTCTCTCTCTCCCCCCCCTCTCTCTCTCCATGTCTCTCTTCTCTCTATTTCCACTCTCCATGTCTCTCTCTCTCTCTGTTCTATCCCCATGTCTCTCTCTCTCTCTCTTCTTTCTCTCTCTCTCTAAAAAATGTCTCAAAACCATGTCAGTTTGTCTCCTCTGTTCTCTCTCTCTAATATTCTCTCCAATATCTCTCTCTCTCTCTGTTCTATTGTCTCTCTCTCTCTATTCTACTCTCCATGTCTCTCTCTCTTGTCTCTTGTCTCTCTCTCAATGATGTCTCTCTCTCTTGTTCTATTGTCTCTCTCTCTTCCTACTTCCATGTCTCTCTCTCTCTCTTCTATTGGAAAAAAATCTTTTCTCCCTTCTTTCTCCATGTCTCTCTCTTTCTGTTCTATTGTCTCTCTCTCTTTCTATTCTACTCTCTATGTCCCACTCTTTCTGTTTCCCTCCCAGAATGTGATACCAAGTATGACGCACAATTTACGAAGGTGCAAACGTATTAATATACAGAAAATAGTCTCAAAAATGTGTTAATACAATATTCGTTAAAAAAAAAATGTTCCGGCTTTAAACAACGCAAAAAGGGTTGATAACCCGTAAAAAACAATCAATTCCGATTAAATATAAATTGTCCAATGCCTGATCCTCCCTCCTGTATCAAAATGGATTCCAGATCCCAGCAGCACTTCAGCACGTTCGCCACTCATATTTTAACAAGTACGTTTTACGATGTGAGATTGCAAGCCCCCACCCACAACATTTTGCAACGTTTTTAGTCATAACTACGAGAAAAAGGAAGTTCCATTACTGTTTTTTAAATTCAAAGTTGTCCTTCTCCAAGATTGGATGCCAACCAATGATAAAGAGCCCAATCTTTACTGCTATTTAACCCATAGCTCGGGCGATGGCGAAAATATAGATTCATGCCTTCACCGAGAGTATTAGTGCAAAAATGAACGCTAACTGCCTCAACCGGAATTTGAACTCGGCTCGTCAGTTTTATTTTCAGCACTGGTATCCCTTTTACCGAAGACACATTTGAATCAAAATTACCTTCGCCCGTATAAAACAAGAATATTTATTTAAAGATAAAATTTCGTATTTGTAAATGTTTTTTTTTCTCTCTCAGTTTTAAGATAATGACTACTTGAATTTTAGGTCAGTAGTCCGTTCTTAACAAGATAACGATTCTGTTTGTATCGAGTGCGTGTGGAGAATATAGCAAACATCGTCTTGTTTAATGTGTATTCTGTTCAACAAGGTTTGATTTATCCCGATATCTTGGGACGAGCATCTGCTTGGAATGTGAAGTTATTTTTAGAACAGCTTAAAATTAAGATCAATGTCCAGAAGAAAGTTCGATGTGGCAATAAAATAAGCAGAACCGATATCGTTTGTAACTGTCCATTACGATAAATATCACGTTATTTAGAGTTAAAAACTGAAGTAGTCAAATAAAGCTTCATATGCTTTTTTTTTTAAGCATTTCACCCCAAACAAGGTGGGAAGCCACTAGGACGCAGGAGGGTTACAGAAAATTTAGAGCAAGATCAGATAGGAGTGATAGAAGAAAGGATGAGGGTAGTGGATAGATCAAGGCAACTGGAGATGTCGATTGACATTACACTTGAATAGCTGGAGATTATAGCTCACAGGGAAACAGGAGAAGGGAAGGGAGTTCCACAGGCGAGAGGTGCGAGACATGAAGCTATTGGAGTAGAAGAGACGGCTACATTTAGGAGTTTCGATAGTGAAGGGGTGAGAGCAGGATGCCAGCCTCGTACTTAGTATTGATATTTTTATTTCTAATTTTTTTATCGGTATCTCCCCGAGCAAAGGTACTACAGCCACTAGAAAGCAAGAGGTTACAGGGTGTCGAGAAATTAGAAAACATTAGTAATGAGTAGAAAGAGAAAAAAAAAAGCAGTCAGGGGAACAGTAGATAGCAATTGACATTGCATTTAAATTTTTGCAAATTAAATTTGGTTGGAAAGCATGGTTCCAAAAGCTAGAAATGTGAGATAAGAAACTCTTAGCATAAAAGTTACGGCTACATCTTAATAGCTCAACTGTAAATTGATGAGATCTCGACGCTAGTCTAGTATTGCGCTTAAATTCATACAACCTATACAGTGAGGCGATTCTGAGAGAAATAGAATTCCTAACTGGATTCATCATTGACGACCACACATCTTAATAACAAAAGATGACATAGTGTTGATAGCAAACACAAAAAGGAAACTAAAGAAGATGGTGAAGGAAAGCACGAAGGAAGGACTAAGTATCAATTGCCAAAAGATAGAATGCTTGGTTGTTAGCAAATGGAACAACCCAATATGCAAATAACACATTGGAGATACCAAAATCAAACAAGTACAACAATTTAAATATCTGGGAAGTGTTTTAACAGAAGATAGAAAGTTCGACACTGAAAGATGCCTTCTAAAAGCTAAGCAAAGTATTAAGAAACAGAAAAATCGTTAGAAACAGAGAAAAGAGTACTGAACTGTTATATAATATCAGTCCTCGTATATGGCAGTGAATGCTGGACAATCTCCTCACATATGAAGATGAAACTTGAAACAGTAGAAATACGGTTCTACAGAAGGATGCTGAGAATATCATGTGAATAAAGACGAAGAGTTAAAAAAAATTGAAACAAAAAGGACACATATTTAACATCAGGAAGGGACAGGTGAATTCTGTAGGGAATATAATGAAGAAAGAGTGTTTGGAAAATTTGATACCCACAGGACAGATTGAAGGCAAGACGAAAACAACGCATAACCTACCTAG